GGGAGTTCGAGACCAGCCTGGCCAACATGGTGAAGCCCCGACTCTACCAAAAACACAAAAAGTTATCTGGGCATGGTGGTGGGTGCCTGTAATCCCAGCTACTCAGGAGGCTAAGATGGGAGAATTGCTTGAACGCGGGAGGCAGAGGTTGCAGTGAGCTGAGATCGCACCACTGCACTCCAGCCTGGGTGACAGAGCGAGACTCTGTCTCAAAAAAACAAAAACAAAAACAAAAAAGAAAACCAAAAAACGCCCACTGCCCCATCCTCCAGAGGGTAAGATAAACAAGGATGAGTCCTGTGCATGTAAGGTGTTTAGGAGCATCGTGGGCTCCACCCACTCCATGTCCCTAGCACCTCCCAGTTACAACAAAATGTCTCCAGGGATTGCCACGTGTCTTCTGGGGGTGCAGCAGAAGCAGAATTGCCCCCAGTTGAGAAGCACTTGTTAAACATTGAGGTGCTCTGGGCTTTGATGTGACCTCAGTCCCAGAGCTTTTAAGTATCATCTGTACCTGGCCAGGCACAGTGGCTCACACTTGCAGTCCCGGTGCTTTGGGAGGCTGAGATGGGAGGGCTGCTTGGGGCCGGGACTTTGAGACCAGCCTAGTCAACACAGTAAGACCCCATCTCTATATAATTTTTTAAAAACTAAAAATAATAATAATAATAATTTAAAAACTTTGGCCAGGCTTGGTGGCTCATGCCTGTAATTCCAGCACTTTGAGAGGCCGAGGTAGGTGGATCACTTGAGGCCAAGAGTTTGAGACTAGCCTGGCCAACATGGTGAAACCCCACATCTACTAAAGATAAAAAATTAGCTGGGCGTGGTGTCACACACCTGCAATCCCAGCCACTCGGCAGGAGAATCACTTGAACCCAGGATATGGAGGCTGCAGTGAGCTGACATCACACCACTGCACTCCACCCTGGGTGACAAAGCGTCAAAAAATAATAAATAAAAATAAATAATTTTTAAAAGCATCATTTACACCTGATACCACTCAAGTGTACACTTTTAAGAGTGACTTTTCCTGGCCAGGTGCAATGGCTCATGCCTGTATCCCAGCTTTGGGAGGCCGAGGTAGGCGGATCACAAGGTCAGGAGATCAAGACCATCCTGGCCAACCTGGTGAAACCCCATCTCTACTAAAATACAAAAAATTAGCTGGGCATGATGGCGTGTGCCTTTAATTCCAGCTACTTGGGAGGCTGAAGCAAGAGACTTGCTTGAACCCGGGAGGTAGAAGTTGCAGTGAGCTGAGATCACGCCACTGCAGTCCAGCCTAGAGACAGAGCAAGACTCCGTCTCAAAAAAAAAAAGTGACTTTTCCCGTGAGCATCAGAATCACGTAATTACCTACCCAATAACCCCGGCTGGAAATCTAACGGTCATCTCAAAGTCAGTGAGACTAAACTCAAGTCCTTTCCTCATCCTACCTACTCCCAAGCCTTACTCCTGCTGGGTCTTCCCCTTCCACCTTTATTTTATTTTTGGGGATGAAGTCTCACTCAGTCGCCCAGGTGACCTCAGCTCACTGCAACCTCCACCTCCCGGGTTCAGGTGATTCTCTTGCTTCAGCCTCCTGTGCAGCTGGGATAACAGGCACCTGTGACTATGCCCAGCTAACTTTTTGTGTTTTTAGTAGAGAAGGGGTTTCACCATATTGCCCTGACCTCAAGTGACTGACCTGCCTGGAAAACCCAAAATACTGGAGTTACAGGCATGAACCACCTACTCTTTTTTTTTTTTTTTTTTGAGACAGAGTCTCGCTGTCACCAGGCTGGAGTGCAGTGGCACAATCTCGGCTCACTGCAACCTCTGCCTCCCGGGTTCAAGCGATTTTCCTGCCTCAGCCTCCTGAGTAGCTTAGACTACAGGCACACGCCACCATGCCCAGCTAATTTTTGTATTTTTGGTACAGACAGGGTTTCACCATGTTGGCCAAAATGGTCTTGATCTCTTGACCTCGTGATCCGCCCGCCTCGGCCTCAGAAAGTGCTGGGATTACAGGCGTGAGCCAAAGGGCGGCCGTGAGTTTCTACTTATAAGGCTGCACCAAAAAAAAAAACGTCTAGCAGAGTCTCCACTCAAGAAATACTGGAAGAATGAAAAACAATAAAAACTAATAGCAGGCACTTACCTGTCAGGCCTCACATTAAATACATTTCACATTCTATCGCATTTAATCCTTTCATCTACCTATGAAACCAGTAATAAAAAGCATTAACTCCGTTTAATACTCGAGGCAACCAAGAGGTCAACTAACTCCTCAAGGTTTCTCCATAACCTGGACAGCTGAAATTCCAGGAAGGCTAGCTATTGAGTCCACAAGCCTCAGTACATTGCTTCTGTAGAGTAAGGCTGACTTTACAGAAGCAGAAACTGAGGCCCCATGACGGTGAACTATTTACACCAGCGTGCTGCCACTAATTAGAGGCAGGGCAAAACCAGGCTAAACAAACTACAACTCCCGCGAGCCTCCGGGGCAGGGGCCCAGCCAGGGAAGCCGCAGGCTACCCTGGGGCCTGCTGGGAGATGCAGTTCTGTACCGTCCCTGAGGCTGGGCGGGCTCACTCACCGCAGCACATAGGAGCGGGCAGGGGCGCTCTTGTAGATGTACTGCGCCAGCCACCACTGCACCGTCATGTTCCAGTACCGCATGCCATCGCGCACCCGCACGCAGAAATCCGTGCCGTAGCAGTCGATGTTGCGGATGGTCTCATAGTCATACTCCAGGGAAGCCGCCTTCTCCGGACTGGGGGTGGAGGATGAGGGTGGGGGACAGACATGCAGCTCAGCCAGGCCCCCTCCCGACGCCTGCTAGTGTCCCAGCCCCGGATGCTAAGGAAGGGATCCTGGCCAGGCAATGGCCCTCTGGCTGTCCGATTTGCTAGGGCGACAAGGGAGGGCGGCCCAGAGGGTGCCTGTCGGGAGGAGGACGGGCGGGCCAGGTGGTACAGTTCACCGACAATGGGGTTCTTCTTGTTTTGGTAACTAACGTGGCCAGCCACAGCCATGAAAAGCCTTGAAGGGCTATGATTGCCAAGCTATGAGTCCTTTAGCAACCAAGCGCAGTATATTCAGAGAAGCCTCCAAGGATGGTCCCTTCTAAACTGTTGGACACTGCTGTTGCTAGGGAAGTATCTTCCCTAATAACAGGGTGATTCACGGTTGCTAGGGAGATGTTCCAGTCGCCAGTGGGGTCTCAATGATCTCTGTTGCTAAGGAAAAGGCATTCCTTAGCAACAAGGCCTAGGATGTTTAGAAAGGCTTTTAGAAAAGGGCTTTTTTCCTGGTCCCAGTGATGTTGAAGTGTCACCTCTAGCAATACGGTGGCTCTCTCGTCACTCGTGCCAACAGCCCCAGCAGTGGGAAACCCTGGCCCACATGAAGACCTGGTGGCCTCTGATGACAGTAGGGAAGCCATCTTGAGGAGTGGGGGCCAAGCTGATTTAGCAAAGCCTTCAATTCCTGCTTGGCTTTTCTTGGGGGGGACATCCTATCTCTAGCAGCTGGAGGTCAGGGCATGGTTATGAGGGCAGTGGTCATAAACTCACATGGGGGTGTCACTACCCCCACAACCGATGGCAGTTTTCGACAAGGGATGGCACAACCCTAGTAGGGAATAGTTCATCATTTACACCAACAGGCTGCTGCCCCAGCCACAGTCCAAGCCCCTGGGAGAAGGCTAACTGCAGCTGCCAGGAACACAAGGGCAGTCTACTCCTGGTTGCCAGGGGTGCCATTTCCCTAGCAACACAGTGGCAATACTTCCTCAGCCACAAGAGAGCCCACAGCTATGGCCGTGCGGCTTGCCTAGCGATGCCGGTGCTGGGGATGCAGCCTCTCTGAAAACAAGGGTCAACCCATAGTTACCAGGGGGAGGCCTGGCTTCCTTAGCAACAGTGTAACTGGAGTTGCTAGGAATGGCATCAGCTCTGCTGGGTAATAGCAGTTGGGGATCTGAAATTGCTATTTCCTTTCAAACAGAGGGCAGCTACATGACCACACCCCATGAGATGGAGGAGAGCTAGCTCCTAGAAACAGAGGGGCAGTACGGGGGGGTGCCGTATCTGCAGCAACACAGCAAAACTTCTGGCAAGAAGGTGAACTACTGTTGCTAGGGATCCTGCTTCCCTAGCAAAGAGTGGCGTTTGGTTGCTAGGTAACTGTTTCCCTAGCAACAGAGGGTGACCCACCACTACCAAATGATGGCATCCCCAGCAAGCAGGAACAATCTGGTTCTGGGGGTGACACTTCTGTAGCAACAGAGGAGTAGCACAGGGTTGCTAAGTTACCACCTTTTCCTAGCAACGGGGGTGGGGGGTAGTTCACCATACTGCGGGGTGACAAGCGCTAGCAACAAGGGGCATCTGTCAGTACCAGGGTTTTTTTTTCCCTATCGACAGCTAACGAAAGGTGGTACCCTGCCCCCTTACTCCCCACTCTCCTCCCTGCTAGGGGCAGAGCCAGCCCTTGGAGGTGGGGGCTGCTGGGTCTTGGGAAGCCTCCCTCCCGCCGCCTGACCTGCTGGGGGGTGGGCATTGGAGGGTGGGGCCGCCCCCGGCCCGGGCTTTGGCGGCCACGGGGTAGGCCCCGAAGCCGGCGGCAATGCAGCCGCACTCGGCGGCAATCCAGGCCACGTAGAAGCGCATGCGGAAGGCGAAGAAGACGGGGATCATGTAGAACAGGCGGGCGGGCAGCGGGCGGGCGTAGAAGGCGTCCTCGCGCACGGCCTCCAGCGGGAAGAGGTGGGAGGAGAGCAGGAACAGCAGGCCGAAGAGCGGGGCCGGCCAGGCGCGGCGCAGCAGGGGCCGCAGGCTGGGCACGGCCCCCGGGAAGGGCTGCTCCAGCCAGTCCAGGTAGGTGCGGTAGCGGAAGAACGGGCCTGTGGGTCAGGGAGGGAGGGCAGCGGTCAGATGGGCAGGTGGGCAGAGCTCAGGTCTGCAGGAGGAGGAGGAGCTTGGAGGGCAGGTGGGAAGAGGAAAAGAGAGGCAGAGACTGGGCGCCGGGGAAACCCCAGTGGTAGGGACAGAGACCCAGAGTGATGGGGACAAGGAACGAAAGATGGGGGGACAACAGGACTCAGAGACAGAGACAGTGACAGGAAATTAGATACAGGGGGCCAGGCGCGGTGGCTCACACCTGGAATCCAAGCACTTTCGGAGACCTAGATGGGAGGACTGCTTGAGCCCAAGAGTTCGAGACCAGCCTGGGCAAACCGGCAAAACCCTGTCCCTACAAAACATAAAAATTAGCCGGGTGTGGTGGAGGCACTGTAATCCCAGCTACTGGGGAGGCTGAGGCAGGAGGATCGCTTGAGCCCAGGCTGCAGTGAGCAGTGACTGTGCTACGGAGTTCCAGCCAGTGACAAAGGGAAGGAGGGAAGGAGGAAAAGAGGGAAGAAGGGAGGGACGGAGGGAGGGAGGGAGGGAGGAAGGAAGGAAAGAAAGAAACTAGGAGATAGCTGTGGCACTTCAGCTACAACATGATGGTGGTCTGGCCTGGAGGAAGGAGTGTGATTCACAGAAGGGACCAGAGTTAAAATTTTGTATGTTCACAAAAGAACACATTTAGGTCAATGTAGTGCGGGAAGTTTAAAAAAAAAAAAAAAAAAAAAAAAAGAAAAAAAAGAGGCCGGGCATGGTGGCTCATGCCTGTAATGCAAGCACTTTGGAGGCGAAGGCGGGTGGATCACCTGAGGTCGGAAGTTCAAGACCAGCCTGACTAACATGGTGAAACCCCATCTTTAAAAAATAAAAAAATAAAAATAAATTTAAAAAATAAAAGAAATGAAAATAAATAAATAGGACCACAGGTTGTATGACTCCAGTTATGAGCACAATGTCCAGAACAGGCAAATCTTTACAGACAGAAAGTCAATTAGTGCTTTCCAGAGATGGATGGAGGTTTGGGGGGTGATGGATATGGGGTTTCTTTGCAGGGTATGAAATTGTTGTGAAAATAACTACAGAGTGGTCATGTTTGTACAACTCCGTGGATATACTAAAAGTCAGGGAGTTGTATGTTTTTTTTTTTTTTAACAGAATCAAAGCAGCCAAGAGTTTTGTTTTCTTTTGTTTTGTTTTGTTTTGTTTTGTTTTTTTCTGAGACGGAGTTTCGCTCTTGTTACCCAG